GGCATTTGTTCTCCCATGAGCACATGTCCAACTGAAATTTAAAAGCAAACAAACTTATTTGAGCATTTCCTTTCGCGTTTAAAAGTTTGAAAGGGATTTGCTTCAGACGGTCTTGAAGTGGCTAGGTTCAGAAATGTGAAGTAGAAGGACTTGGAAAGAATTAATGTTTCCAATTGAAAACTTAAGGTGAAGTTTTATAAATGGCACATTGAAACTAGACTGTACATCTGGAGATTCAATTTTGGAATGTAGCATAGAAAGGTGATTTTTATGCTGTTAAAAAAGTGGGAATGTCAGGTAATTTTATGTTCTTCATTTCCCATGATCAGGTCTCATATTCAGTGAAAGATCTCTGCTTTGTGTGTTTATGTGTGCGTATTACTTAAATTGGCATTCTGCAATTGAATGACAATGGTGAAACAAAAAAAGGGTTTTGCCGAAATTTATGTTTTCACTAGAAGAAAAGAAAAAAGGAAGGTTGAGTGCTCTCGAATATTGAAGCAACTCATTTAGGTGAGTTAGGAATTAGGATTGTGATTTGGAACGTCCGGCTTACACTGCTAAATTGCTTAAACAACATGAAAAATGTCTTCTTTGCACCTTAATTATTGGACCTGAAAGTAGTCTATCTGGTTTAAATTAAAAATTGTTAAACCATAGACACACCACTGTGAAGTATTTGTGAGCCAATATTATCTAATTCCACATTATATCTTGCTATCCAGCCAAACAAAATATAAGAACCTGCCAGCCCTCACAGACCTTCAGCTATCCTGATTGTATACTGAAAGAATTACAAACTACATGGGAAGCATGCTGTTGTGCTCCCTGCAGAGAAGAGGGGCTGTGGGAGATAATTGTAAAGAACTCATCTGTTTGGTGCTAGATGGCACAAGAGGTTAACTCACCAGAATTTCAGACAGTTCACCTCTGCCAATTGTGTTCAAACATACCATCCATCTCAAGTGAATTGAGTTTCAGAGCCTCTATTACAGTTATGGATGTAAGTATGCACCAATGGATGCCCAAAAGCACTATTTCTTACACTGTGGAAGTCTGGATCCAGAGTGGAAGTATTAAAGCATGTTTAATGTGAAACTAGCAGACTGCATCTTCTAATAAAATATAGAAATGTTTTTGGAGTTGCCTGAATGTGTTTTCATGGGTCTTGAATCTACTATGCTATGTTTCAAGTGGACATTATTGTACAAAATTAGTACCTGACAACAAGCCACTGGGTTGAGAAAATGAAAGGAATAAGCAGGAGAGGAGTGTTTTGACACCAAAGCCCCAAGCACTCTGATCAGCAGGGCTAATGCATTTACTTTCAGCCAAAATTGTATTTGTGCAGCCTATTACCAAGAAACCTGATCTGCGTGTCCAGAGTGTAGCTTGGGGAACAGGAATTCCAGAGCAGACAAAGAAGACCCGGGTTAGTAGGGTTTGCTGGGATAAAAACAGGCACTGAGACACTCAGTTTAGGCTCCGGGCAACAGCTGGTCATGGTCAACACTTTTGTCTCAACACATCGTCATTTGTCCAGTGGAAATGTGGCAAATGGTATAATGAACCTAGGGCAATTAATAAACACAACTGTTTTGTAATTATCAGTTGGATATTAACATTTGCAAATTGCAATAAGGACACTTGTGATTTGCACAATACAATTGCCTTGCAATTCCTTTGTAGGTTGTCTTGTTTCCCCTAGAGTACATGGGGTGGGGGTACAGCCTTGTACAGGTCTGGGGTGCTGGGATTGTCCCAGCACAGGAGGCAAGGAGAAGCCACCAACTGCACTTTGCTGTGTTTGTTGTTCAGATAGCAAGCCATCAACAAAGACCTTGGGTGTAGGAAATGCATGCCAGAGAATCAAAGCATGATAAGAGGTGTCATCAGAGCACTAAAAGTGACCTCAGAAAGGAAAAAAGTTGTTGATTTTAAGAACTGCCATGAAATGAGTTAAAAAGTAGCCCAGGAAAAGAGAGTGCCAGTGATAGCATGAGATAAAAGGTCTTGTGCTTGGTCTTGGTCTATAGAACTAACACAATAAATACCATAACTGAGCGGTTTCCTTGTTGTCATATCTCTTGTGGCTCAAGCGCCTCTATATATTTTGAAATCTCTTTGAGACTGATGTGTATATATATGCCTGTCTTTCTCCAGATGTACACGTGTTAAATACCCATACTGATTTGCCGACAGTCCTATTAACAGCCCACTTTGAGGTACCTCTTCAAAAGGTTTTCTTTGGTATGCTATAGTCACAATTTAAATATAAAATCACACAGAACAGAACAGGCAGAGTTTGAGTAGGTAGCTGTGTCAGCATGCGTAGGCTGCACCAGTGCAAGTGAAGGTTCATTCCATGCTGATAGGTAAAGAAAAGAAACACTGCATTTCAGCTATGAAGAGTGCAGCCTGGAAGGAACAAAAGCACCTGACAATAATAGCAGTCATGCAAAACTTAATATGCCCATAACACAACATTAGAAGCAAAATCTAATCTATAAATATTTAGTCAAGTCTACTAGAACATTTACATTAGTAAAGCAAAATGATGATTCTGTCTTGATGTGAACAGCAAATTAATTTCCATATTTCTCATACATAATATGAACTATACAGTACTGTACCTTCAAGTTTGCTTTAGGACTATTTTAGAAAATGCATATTTAACCTTACTTTAGGAGTTCAGATTTTTACAGCTGGGCTCATTAGCAATGTCCTTACACTGTGATCTTTTTTTTTTCATTTGTTTTTTTCTTCCTCTTTTTTTGTGCAGGGCTTTTGATCTTCCCTTTAAGTGTGAGGAAAAATAAAAACAAATAGCCCTACCACTTACTGTTTTGTGTTTGAAAAGAAGTTAAGTAAAGGAGCTTCCAAAAAACAGAAGCATGCATTGAAAAGGAAATATTTCTGGAGCAAACCTCAGGAGACCTCTGAGGGCAGTTTGGAGTGAGCACATAAAACATGTTTGGTTAGCGTTAATAATTTATTGAATCAGTTTATCTGCTCTGCCAACCTTTTTGGGCAACTTCACAGTCATTAAAATATTAACCAGGCCTCCACAAACAATGGCTTCTGTGTTCTGAACCTTATCAGTACTCTCCACTGCATATAGGTCTGAGGTCTGCCCTGTCTGTACCCTAAATTCAGTTGAACTGCTATAAATATTATGAAATACCCTGTTTTTCTCTAAGTTATTGCAAGACAACAATGGATTTTGTTTCCGCCTATAGCAATTTTGCCTTTTTATCAAGAAGTTACAAAGGGCTTATTTTCCAGTAACTTGAACAATGTGTATATCCTCCACTCTCTATGGCTGGTTTAAAAATGAGAAATTAAATTAATCTTCTAAAATTTGTAGTTGTACAAGGTGAGGAACTTTTGGGTTTAAAATCAATTCTTTCACACAATCAATAACCACACCTGAGGTCGGCATGTTATGTGAGGAATGTAATTTATCTTCGCTATGATTCCATAATGAAGCAAAAAACATTCTCTAAGCCAAATTTTTTTAAAAAAAACTCCTACCAGGTTATACATTTCTAACTTACTATCAATGAAGTTTCCAGTATATTTATATGTTCTATAATGTGCTGAAGATGTGCAGTATCCAATAAGCTTCATATGATTTACAGGTGTACATAACTGCATCTGTTTAATATGGAAAAGAAAATACTGGGTTACTAAATGGGAAAGGAAAGGATAACTGAGACCACAGTTGTTGTGTCCTGAACTGAACACCAATGCCACCACTGAAAGCAACAACCTTCACCTGTCGCTGGAAATCGCCCGTTTCACTGGTGTGTTTATCTGAGCTCCAAGTCTGCACTCACAAGGGAGCAGGAGATCAAAGTTCCCGCAGGACCATAAGAAATCTGCAGTACTTGTATCATCCAAACACCCAATACCAACCATGAAAGCAGTCGGCGATCGGCTGAAAACAGATGCGATTTTAGCATTAACCCCAGGTCTTCCTGAATATTAGTATTAAGTGAACTCTGTCACAGCTAGATCTCCTTTTCAAAGTACAGAGGCAAACAGTGTAATCTCAGAAGAACCGAGGCTCAGGTGAAGCAGGCATGCTCCCTCAAAGCACATTGAATAAGGATCACATCTGAGACGGTCACTGCTGGCTCTGTGGCAAAAGCTGCAGGCTGCAGACTATGGTCAGCTGCATGTATGCGAATACGAACCAAACATGCATATCTGAATAACAGGAAGAGTATTTCATACATTTTTTGCTGAAATTTTCATTATAAGGATGCAAATTCTATAAATACCCAGTATTTACTTGTAGCAACTTCAAAACAATTCCAAAATCTTTTTTTTCCTGAATTTTTCCTCCCTTTGTATACTGTTATCTGTAGCAAAGGCCAGGAGCTTTCTAAGCACGCATTAGATACTGTTTATTCTTTCATAATGAAAAATGTACAACAATAAATTGGAAAAATAACAGCCTGATCTGAGTAACAGTGAAATTCCTTTACAGGAAGATCCAGTCTCCTGTCAATCCAAACCACTTACAGTAATTACGACGTTAAACATTTTGAAATGACATAAATGTATGTATTTGTTTAAAATCGATTAAATCAATTTTACCAGTCCTTAGATATTAGAACTACATGTGCAAACACATGGCTACCTTTCCTGGATGGCAAAGCTATATAATCAAGCTATTTCTAACAGTTTGAAATGCATTACCAAAAACTCGTGACCAGAAATGGATTACTGTATCCTGTGATTACATCATATTTTGGTTTGCAGAACTGTTTCTGTGTCTTATTTTTCTCACATCCTTTCTGATTACAAATCCAGACTATATATTTGCCTTTCATTTACATATTGCTACTTGGGTTTCATTGCATGGCATTGGTAAGTCTTTGACCATGTGACTGGCAAAGGTTTCAAGTCCCTGCTGTATAAATGGGGAGCAGTATTGCTGGGATGGACAAGTGTTCCGTCCAGGGGGAGTAACGTGATCTCTAGTCAACACAGTGAAAACCAGGATGAGCTGTGGCTCTGAATGGACTTCATCTTTTACTTTTTACTGACATTCCTGAGAGCTGCTACTCTGGTGTAAGCTCCGGCATGATCACGATTCTTAATATTTCCTTGGATTGTCATTCATTTAGAATTAATTTATCATCTCTGTTGTAGGCTCTTTTGTCTTAGAGTTTGAAATCTAATAATATGATGATAATAAGCTTTATTTTATGTCGCGCCTTTAAAGGTGGCTTCTCAAAGTGCTTTAATCTTTCAAATCTGCCTTTTCCAGAAATTATGCTACTTCAAAAAAGGTAGAAGACTTCCAATAGTCCTAATTTGTGTTTGATTTAGATGTTTTTTACATATTCACATGCATATGCTTTAAAATCAATATGAATGTTTTGATGAACATGAGCAGTTGAGTGAGTTCTAGTAGTGCAAACATTAGATGGGTGTTACTTAATTACACAAGAGAAAATATGAACAAAACCACCAGGAGGAAACTTGAAACTTGCCTTGTCGATACTACTTACAGGGAAAATGCTGGGCTGAACCTGAAACAACTGCATTCCTACATTCCAAATTTTCAAGATAAATGGAAGAAACTACATGCCACTCTCCTTGTTTGAATTTAATGAAGTGTGTGCTGATCGAAATTGAATGTCACCTGTACAAAGCGATCACCTTGTGTCAGACTCAGACTGTGCTGTCATACACTGGGAATACTGTCTCATCATGTCAGTATCTCTCATACTGTCAACATGCATCCCCAACACATCCCTGACACATCCCCAATGTGACCACAGCACAATTGGTCCATTGTTGAAGCATCCTGTCATTTCCTTATGCACACAAAGATCAGGTGTCTCTGCTGATACCTTTTTCTGTGCTGCCATTCTGCTCTATTACCAATGTGGCTGAAGAGGTCATTTAATACCCCCTAATTAGCAGTTCCATAACAAAACAGCTTTTCTTATGTTTTAAGGTAATGTCACTTTATAAGCCATATACAATTTCTTGCATTAGGAATTTGTCTTTTCGTTAGGTTAATTGGCTTGTTTTCTTGAGTGTGTGCATGTTTCAGTCTCTGTGTACCCTGCAATGGACTGGTGTCCCGTCTATAGTGTATCCTGCTTTGTACCCATTGCTTTCTGGGATAAAGTGGTTAGGAACAACTAGATGGATAAATTGCTAGCTTTTAATGCCACTCTCTTCACAATATACAGTAGGGCAACAATGTTTCTTCAGAAAAGAGTTTGTCTTTATAATATAGCACTAATGTACTGAAAGAAACAGTGGTTACAAAACAGCAATATATTTGATCAACCATAGAGGTGTTGATCAGATCTGTACTCTCTCATAGAGATCCTTTTATTTTCTCTATTCGTTTGGACTAGTTTACAAGTCAAGAAGTGATGGTTCTCCAGTTTCTGGAGAAACTAGCTATAATTTGAATTATAAAACCTTGGGCCAATAATCACTTGTTAGAACAGGATAATGGGCAGACTGCATGAGAGGGCATGTAAATAGTTAACTAGAGTTCCTTCAATACAAACTTGGTGGAATAGAATTCTGATTCAGATAAACCCAATACTAATAACATTCTTTCCATGTTGTGCCATTGGTGCAGTACATCGTAAAATGCGTTTATAATTCTAAGAAATTTAAAAATGTTGTTACACAATAACTACCCAACTAAATCTGCAGTAAAACTAAAATCACTATTCGTTTTGGTTAACGTATTCTATTTTGTTAAACTATAATCACTTTTCTTTTTATGTTTACCACAAAACACTAGTTACAACACTATGAAGATTAATATATTCAATATGTAATTTATTTCTTAATCTCAGTTTTTGGAAAGCATGCAGGATAGGATGAACATGTAAATTGCAAAATCACAAAGTATTTTCGTGACACACAAAAAGTACACTAAAGAAAGTTTCGGTAAAAGTTATATAACTTGTTTTTCTAAAATTTTTAAGATTTTTTCAAAGTTATTCAACCCTTTCTTCCTCAGCAGGGACCTCCTCAAAATAATTTGCATATGTAAGTGCATATATGTCTTAACATTGTATTACAAAGGCACTTCTGAATTTCTGAAAACCTACTGGGGTGAGTTATTGTTCTATTATTATTAATAGTTTATGGAAAGAAACTGCAGTGTCTATGGCTAGTTCTATTGCTTGGGTTCAGAGATCTGTGTGAGGATCTGCATGCCACTTGTAACATGTCCAATGTTGTGTTTCTTCTGTCTACAACAAATGATCCGGTTAGCTTGCTCAATGGTTGCAACACTATTGTAAACAGACCTTGGAGCATTTTGTGATGAATTAATTGAACGAATACTACAGTATAGATTAGTTATTAACCATTGCTGACATTTCTTCAACCAGGCAAGTTAACGTTAAACTATTACATACGCTATCCCTTTATATTAGTCAGGTTGTTTCATCAGTGTTATGAATTGACCAACTGAGCTGCTTAATGTCTTTCATGACCAGAAACGTCTATATTTTTTCTAAGATATTTGAACTGAAAGTTATAATTTCAAGAGTCATGCAGATACTGTACTTAGGAGCATAGAAATGTGAAATTATTGAACACAGCAGCAAATGTATTTTTCTGCTTTGATTTTAGTTCATCTTCAAAGACCTTTCACTCAGGAAGTATGTCTGGAAAAGGCAAAGTAAGTCTGGTCAATGTTACCTTGAAATTATTTTGTTGTTATTTTAGCTTTTAAGTAGAGTTCACATGAACCCCACAGCTATATCAGATTCTGTGTCGTAGTGTTCCTGGTAGGGTCTCTCTTGGTGAACAAGTGTCTGGAAAAATCCTTTTTGAAAATGTATCCAGCCAAGACCCTCATAGTAGCTCAGCAAGGTTGAGTGCACAGTTGCTGGGATGCTCACTCAGACACAGCCTTAAACATTTACACCTTGTGGGCCCATCACCTGTGAGGCAATGAGTGAGTTTCAAGGGAGAGGATAGCCTGACCAGTGAGTGGGAGTTTAAAAGAGTCACAGACTAGACCTAGTCAGGCCCGGTAGATGTACAGGGCGCATGGGCTGCTGCTGTGTACCCTGCAGTCCCAGTATTTGTGAAGGCCGCACTCCACCAAGAGAGCGTCTTGTCTCCTCTGCTGTTCGAGATCTAAGTCAAAGTGTAGCAGAGCTTTCGATTGTATCTCTGCTGTTCTGCGGATGCTGTTGGCCTCTTTGCCCCATCTGAAAGTGACCTCCAGAGCACAAGGGAAAGGTTTGAAGCCGAGTGTGTTTGGGATGAGGGTCAACACCTCCAAATCTGAGATCATGAATCTCTCTTTCCAAAAGAGTGGTATGCTCTCTCAAAGTAAGGAGAAAAGGCTTGTACCCCAGGTACCAGGCCTTGGTAGGACTTACTTTCCATGACAGCATAGTAAGAATGCCACCTAGGAGTCTTCTGTTGGAGCTCTACTGACTATGCCACACTGGTCAGAGACCTCAAAATATACTATATCTCATTGCGATGCTTGAGGATCCTACAGTATGAGGTGGAATATACCGTGGAGAAAAAAGTATTGTCCAGTAATTATGTAAAAAATTAACAGGTTATTACCAATGACACTTATTTAAAATTAGTTAAGCAATGCGGTCACTATTTTAAAATGCTACCATTATTCTGGTTTACAGGCTACACAATCGACTACACACATTTATTGAATACATTTTGCGTTTCAGAATGGCTTGTTTCCTGACCGTTGATGTTTTTTTTAACAGAAACCTGAAGTTGGAGATATAATTTCCTTTAATCGGGGTCTCTACAGTCACTGGGGGATTTATTTTGGAAATGAATATGGAAAAGATTACATTGTTCATCTTTGTGGAGGTACAGTATACATATGTGTGTCTATTTGAGACCACTGGAAAGGTTTTCAACTAAACCTAAACAGCAACATGTTTTTTTTTATAACACATGTCATGATTATACACTATGCCACTAATACATAAATAATAAACTAATACATAATAAACTAATACATAAATTAAAATTGAAATAAAATTAAAGACACATGCACTCATTTCTGCTGGTTTCCTATAATATATTTTTTTTTTCCTAATGTTAAAAAGGACAGAGCAACAGTAAGCCAGCGTCCTTTCAATCTACAGTGAAAAAAGATGAGCTTAATGCTGTGGCTGGAAAAAGTTCATATGAAGTGTTCAATTACTTGGATAAAAGTCACACTCCAAAAAAAACTGGAAAGATAAAGGAAGACCTGGAAGCCAATCTTGGGAAGAAAATAGATTATGATCCCTTCAAATACAACTGCCAAAGCTTTGCTTCACAAATGCGCTATGATGTGGTGAAGACTCCTGAGGTACTTTTTTTATATTAGACTTACTACTTACAATAAGATGTATTTATCTTTTTTGTGTTAAAGACTGTTATGTAAGGTTTTGTAATATTTTTTTCTCTTTGTTCCTGCTTAAGGTGTAAGCACTGTAATATACTGGGTTAGATATTGTAAACAAAGTTCGTAGATGTCTTGGTAGAACTAGAAAGCATTTAAGAATGCTATCCAAATAACTCAAATTCATTTAAAAACATTTTCTCATGTTCTTTTTTGTAACAGAAAGCTAGGTTTCCTAAGACAAGAAGTGCCAAGCTGGTGAAACTTTGAGCATGTACTGTACATGATTTTAGACAAGACCATGAAAGGGTATTCTTGCAAAACAACCATAGAAGTTCTTTGTCAACACCAGTTGCTTGGTTAAGAGGGAATCATTTTGTTAATAAGCTAAACATTTGCAAGTATCGGGCCAATAAATAATTTAATACAGTATATACAGTATGTGTGTGATTGTGACCATCTCTCAAAACCTTTAGCTCCATTAAATTATTTTCATTTTTACCACTACTTTAAAAATTGTTGTTCTTTACGAAAACTATCTAAAATAAACAGATACAAACACAATATAAAAGGCAGCAACTAAAAAATTATACTGACTTAATCGTGCCCATTACAGTATAAGTGAATAAATCAATTAAGTGTATGTATAGCATATACAGTATACTTTAATTTATATAATTTTATGTTTTTTCTGCAGGGAGAAAAAGTAGAAAAAATATGTACAGAAAACCTACAATATATGATGAAAGAGATGGACCATTTTTCTCCTAAGTGAAATAACAACTGATTCCAATCCTGAATGTTTTACAAAAAAATTTAAAGTGAATTTGCTTCTCTTCTCCTTAAGGAGTGGGTTGCTCTTGTAGGGGGTAACAATGGCTGTTTTGTTCTCATTTCTTGATGCTTCTTTTTAATTGTTTATAAAAATAAGTAATACAAATATTAAGCAGTAGGTAAGAATGCCCGTAAAAGGATAAAAGCAGACCTGGGTAACAAGGACAGGCTTTCTCATGGCAAGGAAATGCTTTCTTCAATTATTTTGCAGATGTAAAATGAATAAAATGTCTTTCTTTCTCAAAGCACATGAAAGCTCATTTATTGTTGGCAATTCAAAGGGAATTAGTGAAACAATGTGGACATTTACATGAAAGAACCAGAATATTTTAATACCAGTGTGTTATAAAAATAAACATCGTTTTTACTTAATGTAGTTTAAAACTGAAGTTTGGGAGGAGGTAAAACGCTGATCTTGTCAATCAAAAGGTCAAAGTTTATTTCTATATTTTGTACCTTGCTAGTAAACATCTAGGACACCTGTAGCAAAATGCATATTTGTTTAAAAATAGGAGACACTTTATTGAGTACATAAAAATAGCCCTTACCATCTAATTTAAATATAACATATGGTAGCATGTTAAGTTTTCTTTAATTCAATTTTTAAAAATAATAATTATTAAAATTGTCAACCTTTTCTATAGGATTACCAATCAACCCTAGTTTTATTATAATGCCTTAAATAGGTTTCTAAAAAGTTTCATTCACACTTTGTCTGATATCAGTGTCTAGAAGTTAACCCAGGAGCAGTTGTTAAGCAAAATGCTCAGTTACCTGAATCGATACCAGAAGAACAAGTTTTAATTAATTGCTCAGGACAATGGCTGGCTGAAAGGCTGCTTTGTTTTCTGTGATTTCTCATTTATTTGTAGAATATCTTCACTAGCATTCCATCCATCCATTTTTGAGCATTTTCTCCCAGTTCAGGGGCAGAGGGGGAGCAAACAAGAGGCACGAGGCAGGGTTCACCCTGGACAGGGCACCAGTCCATCACAGGGCAGACACACAGACACAAACACACACAAGTAACATTGTGGGAGAAAACCAGAGCACCCAGAGGAAACTCACTTGAACACAGGGAGAACATACTAACTCCACACAGATAGCACTCCAGTTCAGGAATTGACCCAAGGGCTCCAGCACTGCTGGATTAATTTATTATTATTATTATTATTATTATTATTATTATTATTATTCTGCTAACCACTGCACCACCATGTTGCCTCTGAGGTATATTCTTTAGAAATGCATTGACTGACTGATACCAATTACAGGGCAGTGCTCTGTTGACAATGAAGATTTTCTCCAAGCAGCCTAACACTGTATAGAGAACTGAACACTCTGTAAAGGTTTTTATTTTCTCTTTTTGAGCTTTCATTCATAAATTCATTCATAACCCCCATACACAACCGCCCACATACTCACACATTGTATACGGCAGCTTGTAATTGTATTCCATGAGGTGTCTGTTGCAAAAAGAAAAGGAAAAATACATGATAAAAGTAAAGGATTTGCCAAAACTGCAAAATCCTGTACAATTAAACTTATCTAAAAAAAACTATTTAATCCTCAGTGCAAGAAAAATAACACCCACTACGAACACACATTTAGGAATTATTAATGAGATGTTGGGCAGAGGAATCTTTGATCTGATCTGCTTAACTGAGAGTCAAGCACTACACAGTAGAATGAATATGTTCAGACCCATGGGGAGTGAAGACTTAACCACAGGGTATCTGCAAAGGTGGAGAACGATGGACTCAAGGAAGAAAGTGGAACTCACTTCACTATTGATAGTTTTTCAGAAAGTGAAAGTGAAGTGAGGATTGGAGTTATTGTAGCAGAGGTGAAGAGAACTTAGTTGCTGTTTTACCTCCCAAACATTTATTTAAAACTCCATAAAATACTATTGGTTAAAAAATGATTGCTCATTTAGTGCAATTTTAATGCCTCTCTGTAGATACTGTAATACGTTTTTAAATATGTTCAGATAGCCTCTACACTAAGAAAAGCAGATTTTTTAAATTAAAATCTCCTTTTAGTTATGGTTAGTAATGTTAAACATTTGTGAATTCCTCCTCCCCACACATTCATACTGCACTCATCACAAGCCTGAGCGCTTTGTTATTAATTTTGAAAAGATGTTAATATTGAAAACTTATTTCAGTCTCTCAGACGTTCTCCATTTTTGTTTTTATGTTCCACAAACATTTAACCCTGAAAACCCACCACACGTGATACCCATGCGAGCAGGGAACAGCCTCTATATCATGTGTACTCTGACCGTGCAATACAACACATTAGTTATTGCACAAAACTAATATACAGTATACAGACAATGGTTAATTTGTTCATTTTTTATTTCCCTCATACTGTGATTTTTCCAAAATTCCGCTACACACCATTGTGCAGCGGCACATTGCTTTTGAAGTGCTGCTTTGCACAGAGTTTTCATTATTATAGTGATTTCTTAACCTTCCACAGCAAAATTAGTGAGTGTATATAGTTCAGGTTGGTAGCTGCATCAGCATGCATAGTCTGCAAAGGAACAAGTAATACAGTAGGTGTATTCCAGGCTGAAAAGGGAAGAGAGAAAGCACAACATGTCAGCAGTGTCACCTGAAGAAGGCTTCACTGCCGAAACGTTGTGAGTGTACAGTATATAGTCAATAACAAATAAATTGCATCTGCACAGTTCCACTCATTTTATTCATACAGCATTTTAAGGACATATTGTAATAAATGCAATAGCTGCCCCCAGTATTTTCCTCACTGGTTTCAGTTATTGCTTTGGGCTAGGTTTGGGAGCACATTGATGGCCCCGGTCATATGACCTGCGAGATTCACTATCTGTCCCTTTTCATTAAAAGTATCCATTTTGATCTGAAAGAGAAGACAGACTCCAGCAATTCATAAGGGAATGGTGACAAGCATTTTACCTCTTCAAGAATTGCTTCTAAAACGATCTTGTAAGCAACTGATTGAAAGGTTAAGAAAATGTGAATGTGGTTTTCTATTTGTCATGCACTGCTTACGTTGTTATGGGACAAAGAAGCAGAATCAATTGTAAATATTCATGCTGTATCTTCAATCAAGTGCCTTCCTCCCATCTTATGGATAAGAATATTCATGTTTACAACATAAACAAATTGTTACAAATTTGAGGAATCAGCACTCTAGTCAGTTAATTTTTTAAAATTTGTTTATTTTTCCATCCAACTTCTGTAACTATTTTATCCTTTGATTGTTGTGGTGAGCAGGAGATTGCTGTTTTACATCAATTGAAATCTAACGTTTAGTTGAAAATTGATCCACATGCAAATGCAGTTACACCCAAACTTTTTTCAAGTGGTCTTTTCCCATCAAACATGTTCATTTTCCATCATCACAGATGCCATCTTGCATAGTAAGCTCAGCTCATCAGCTCACCAATGTTTTTTTCTGCTTTTTCCCTGAAATCAGGACTCATGGCTCTGCCACTGACATTGTAGGCAGCTCTAAAACCTACAGTTTCTTAGTCCCTACTCTGCTTTGCATTCCCTCAATTTTGTTATCTTAAACCAGAGACATTAGCTGTGGCGATTGCTATCTCATAGTCATTGTCTTGTCTAGTGTGGGGTCATATATACTGCTCATTTAGTTCCTTGATGAATCTATTCATCAAATCATTATACATTTCCCCAGCAGCAGATACCATTTATATATACTGTATATATACGACTAAAGTTCTAACATTTGTAAATAACTCCAACCTTTGGTAGCCTCATACTAAACTTAGTTTAGCAGAAACATAATTTCTTTTTCACTCCAAAATGTTATGTTTTCCTCAATAAGTTACCATCCCCAGCTGGCAGGAGTCTTCAGTACATGGGCCCTTGCTTCAAAGGCCAGGCCAGTTGTTTTCGCCCAAAGCTTCACATGAGTAATGGAATGTGGGGTTTCCTCAATCACACCTGTCAAACTCTAGTGTGGGAATGTGAAAAAAAAATGTACCAGCCTAGTAATCACTAACTGAATGATAGCAAGATCTGTGCTGAATGTGTCAGATAAATAAATGATGAATTCAGGTCATTTCCACAGTTGTCTTTATTTCAATGTAGAATTTCATAGCCCTTATAATGGGCTTTACTCTTGTTTCAACTGGCCTCAGGCTAATCTGGAGAGAACTACTTTAGCTGTGTCGCTAAAGAGTCTGTAAAGTCACTTTACAATGTGCCAGACCTGTTTACTTATTGTGTTTTCTAATGAAGTTCGTGGATTCCTTCCTATTTTTCCAATGTGTAGAGTTATACGTGCTGAAAGTAGAAAAAATCTGTTGAGCATAATAACATTGCAACATTGAATATGGAAATGTGTTCTTTTTCAAAAACCTCTTTAATGTGTTCTTGTAGCTTTGTTCTCATTAAGAGAGGAATATAAGAGAACAGAGAAAAGAAAGGCACTGGGAATGCTTATGGAGTACTTTAACAAGTAGTCCTGCAGTGCTGATTTTGGAGGGATTGAGCATTCAATGTGAACAAGCACAATAACACCACAAAGCTTTCTGTGGGCAGTTCCAGCTAAGCCTAAAGACAACAAAAGGTTTTGAAAATTGCAGCAACATTGAATAGGACTGCTCTGAGTCTCTTAGGTATCAATAATTTATGTCCAACAAACATTAAAAGAACCTCTAAATATGCATGCTGTAGAATCAAGAATTATAATTACTGAAAAATGCTGCTATATAAAATCCTTTAAGCTAACATCTGACATACTTTCTGTGTTTTTTGCATATCATAAAAATAGAAAATTTTGATTTAGCTGAAGCACTAGTATGAAATTTGTGATTGTGTAAATGTAATAAAAAATAACGTATGTATGCCATTCCAAACTAGAAATTAGAGATATGATAGAGATTGTTTCTGTATTTTTGAGTCCTTGTTCAAGGCTCAAGTCTCTGTAGAAACACGGCAATCTTTAATCACTGTGTTTATCTATGCTTAATCATGGGTCTCCCGCTCAGTACGCCTGGTGACAGGGTTTGTGCAGAGAGCTAAGCAATCAAGAGCCTGTGTTCCTGTGGTCTGTAACCATGGCCCTTTGGCAGCAGCTGTCACCGTGGATAAACAATCTGTCGTACCTTGAACATGCTCACACAAGAGAGACAAACAAGGTAGTATTTCAACATCAGGAAGAACATGAAAATGAACATTAACAAGTTCTCTTTACCAAATTCCAGCCTTTCAATTACTATAATTACAGATTTT